TTCTCATTTGACACAAAAGGCTTACAAATTCATGGCAAGATGGCTCATTCATGACATTTATCCAAAGCTTCAATGCAATTTCTCAACTTAGTTCAGTTAAATTTTTTGTAGTCATTTGCTTAATTAGATTTGTAAGGAGGAGTGACATTTTCTTTTTCTCTCTTTTTTTTAGAAGCAAAGATAATGATTATATAACTATATCAAAGGAAGGGGATAAATATATCTCTGTACAAAGTAACAGATTCCAAACCATCCAAAAAAAAAAAATTGTTGTAGTGAATTAACGCATACAAGACATGACTATACACTGAATCATTTACATGAAACCTTTACCCTGTACTTAGCAGATCTATCTATATTATTTTTTCTCAAAGTCTTTTTTTTTCAAGTTTAGTGACTTTTGCTTCCACATCATTATTGTGTAATATCCTTAGGAAGACTTGCTTAGGCTTTCAATCCTCAAGACTTAAGCGCCGCACGGATCTTCGTTAAAATTTCAACTCGTGACAGGTCTTTTACATTAGTAGGTCACCTTGTAGTTAAATCTGACCGTGAGATACCAAATTTAGTTAAATCTCTTTAGGGGAACATGATATCGATGCTCTCTTAGGGAGCGCGATATAGGTGTTCCCTTGGGGAGTGTGATCTGGCCGAATTGGTGCTCTTGGGCCAAAGTTAGCCTTGGGGTGGTTGATCGACAAGAGATAGGATAGAAAAAAATTTTTTGAAAGAGAGAAAAATTTTAAAAACGAAAAATTATAGTTTAAAAGTGTGATAATTTTTAAAATTAATGAAGGGTATAATTGTTCGAGAAATATTTTCACATCATCAAACTAATGAAAATATTAACAATTAATTAACGGCTGGACTTATATATCTAGTAAAAAATTTTATTTCTAATAGTAATAGACCGACGTGGAATTATGGTAAAAATTAAGGGGTCAAGGTATTTATCTTTATTTTTTTTCTTTTCCTTGCTGTACAAGCAAGTCAATGACATTTTTGTTAGATTCTCTAGTAAAATTTTTATGTGGACTTTATTTATTTTTGTATTTTATCAAAATTAAGCTAAGATAATTTGTTTTTGATAAAGGGATAATATTATAATTCATAATATGATCTAACAAATTGGATTAGACTCTAATGTTATATGTGGGCTTAAAAGTATAGGTCTATGTAAGAAACTCTAAATCTTGTTATAACTGGAATTAGGGATTCATTATATAAAGGACAAACTAATCTCCTCTCTTATCTACAAAGACATAAATTCTCACCTATTGAAGAGTCATAAAAAAAAAGAGAGCCTGGTTAGTATTTTTTTGCTAGATTTTGGATTATTATAAATTTATTTATACATAAAGTTGATCAATTTCCAGTTTTTATTTCCCTGTAAATAGACTTTACCCTTCAGCTATTTGCAACTGAGTCTTTCGTTCCTGCTTTTACTCAGCTTAGCAAAGCTACATCAGTTAATTCAACAAATCAACATTCAAGGCGCGCACCCCAGTGGCTCTCTTCTCAGTCTCAGCTTTGTTGAGTTGCTTTCGGCCCAAAGCGTTCTCACGAGTTTCTGATGATGCACAAGTCGCCAGCATGAAGAAGTCGTCATCGGAGAAAACTGAAACAAAATCCCAATCCAAAGCCAAAGGAGCTCCTATTGTAGTGAGCTACTTCCCCGTTAATTCATATCTATCACGCTTGCAATCAGTATTTCAAGGAGAGTGACTTGTGAAGATACCAGAAAGAAATCTACAAGTAATAACCATGTCTGCGGCCTGCAAGGAGTTTACATAGCAGACTCAGGCAAAATCTGAAGCTCGTTGCGTATTGTGCAGCAGAGTGATGGTGGAAACGACAATCTAACGAGTCTAATTGGGTCAAGTGGAAGTCTTTTTTTGTTGTCTGCAATTGGTTCCAACACTTGGTATCGGGTTTTTATCTACTTTTCTTTTGTTAGTTTGCCTGTGTTGATTCTATTCAAGAACAAATTGTGCTTTGTTCGTTGTTGTATATTTGTTTCTTTGAACATATTATTTAATTAAAAAAGGAAAAGAGAAGACAAAAAGAATATATTGTTGTAGACTGTAGACTTCGGCTGAGCCCAATTTCTACAACTGTCAGCAGATGGCAGAATCATTGTAAGAACTAAGAAACAAAGAGGTTGCAGGAGATGAGCTCATATATTACTGAACTTGCTTTACGAGAAAGAAACATTTTGGAGGTATAACGTAACAAAACAACAGAGCATTGTCTAAATATTTGAGTACTTTTATCTTTATTAATTATATTAACTCAAAGTAAAGATTGTGTAAATAAGTTTATGCCTCCCACAACAGTTGGTCAGTAACAAATGTTACAAGTCTTGGTTCATGGTATAAAATTTTACACCCTATAAAATTACTCTTCATTCTGGAGAATTCAATCACAAAATATTAGAACAAAAGGCTACATTTGCCTGTATATTCTTTTCTTTTCTTGTGTTAGTAACTTACATTGGTTATTATTGTATTTTCAGATTTGGTTCAACCAGTGTCAAAGTGTGTAGCCAACTTAGTGTGGCTACGGTGGTTGAGGGTTTGGGTAGAATCTCCTTTTTCTATGGTTAGATGGGTAGAAATCTTATCATTCTGTTCTTAATATGTATGCTGTTAATGTGCATAAAAGAAGAATGTAATAAAATACTATATGATATGTATTTGATGAGAATTTGATGGAAAATGGGCAACCAGATGGGATAGAGGTTTGGAAAGGACACAATGGGCAGAGACAATGATGACATGCGAATGTGCGTATGCACACACTTGCATGCATGCACCTATAGGTACCTTTCAGTGAAATGCCTATCATCAAGAGTTGATGCCATTTCTTTTTGTATGGTTTATGCCGCAACAAATTTTTTCAAGAGATGTTCAAATGTCAAATTGGTGTTGAAGCTATCCAATCAAGGCTTGTCCTTGAGAAGCACTTTTATCCTCTGTCTACTCAAAACTGTCTGCATTACAAATGGATGTAAAAAGTTGATCATTATCTTGCAATAATGAGCCAAGCAAAGTTGAAATTTGCAATCCTGAACTCCCTGCCACCACTGGTACTTTACATATCATCCATTTTTATTAAATGCTTAGTCTTACTGGTAGTACTTTGCTTTCTTATGGCCCTTATATTTTATTTTCCTGAACTGATTGTGCTCTTTTCTTGGGGCCTTTTAATAGTCTACATCAGCTTCAGTTTGCATCAAGTGCCATTCTCAAGAACCTGAGGATCTTCTTGTCAGATACGAAACATGCAGACATACTGTGTTGATCCTCCTTTCTTACCATGGACCTGCAAGGATCTTGAGAGGCTCCCTAATTATAGCTTCTGGTATACATATCTTGATACTGATAATTCATCTAGAAGACAACCATCTACCACAGTAGCATTTTTTTGACCTTGAATTGTCAACATGATGCTATATTTTCTGTATTCAAGTATCCTTTGTATCGCTGGTTATGCTCGCCGTTTTTGGAACCAAAGGTTCTTGATGCATCTCTGCCAGATTTGTCCCGTTTACTCTTACATGGCACATTCTGTTAGTACTACACCAGCATATGATGTGCAATTATAAGTTTTATAAGTCATATTTTTCACAGTAAGCTGCAGCCTTATTTTTTGAGATAATTGGGTTTTTATTTCAACATCCAAAGGAAGAAGGAGTTCTGTGAAAATGTTTACAAGCTGGGGAAACACCCAGAAAACAGCAGCTAACTAACTAAGCTGGAATTATGACCCACCTCTTACATAGATCATTGGAAAGTACAATAGAAGAAGAACTAATACAGGAAGCTGCAGTCTTATCACCAAGGCTTGATTTCATGCTTCGATCATCATCTTTGCACTCGGGAATATCATCATCATCATGCACCAGAGACGCTTGCGATTTCTAACTTACAGTGTTCTGAAGATATTAGAGAGCTACATTTCATGCTCTTCTTATCATCATCTTATAAACAATTTGAAATTAACTTTATGCAAATATTGAGAAGATCAACTAATATCAATGTAAAATTTACGGACTTTCATTAGTTTCAAATCTGGAAGATTACTAAATTCCAAGAAAATAAAAGCTAACAAACTAACTAGACTGGAATTATGCTCCAGCTCGTACATACATCATTTTGGAAAGTACAATAGGAGAAGAGCTACTAAAGTAAGCTGCAGTCTTATCACCAAGGCTAGGTTTCATGCTTCGATCATCATCTTCGCACTCGTGAATATCATCATCATCATCATGCACCAGAGATGCTTGAGCTTTCAAATCCTCAATATCAAAATTCCAGGCCTAATTCCTTTTTGATACTGACTCTGCGGTGGGTTTATTGGTATTTAATGTTAATTGACATGAATTTTGTTCAAATTCCAAATTTGGAGCTACAAAAAAAAGTCATGGCACATATAAATAATTATGCCCTTTTCCTTCCTAGCGAATTCCTTATGATAAACTGTAACCTTATAGTCGAAGATAATTTCCACAGGTTAAGTTAGAATTTTTTAAATCCTAAGATATTAACTTATAAATTAAATGTTAGAATCCCTCACACACTTTTCATCTTCCATCTTTTGGTTGCACAAGAAATAACTTATCCTAAGTAGTTGGTATAGATTGTGTTTTGAAAAACAAATTGTGCTTTTAATTTTTCATCTAAATTCAATATATATATTTAACAGGTAAATTAAGCAAATAGTTTTCGAATAGTGAAAATAAGCAAAGGAAAGAAAAAAAAAAGGGTAGAAGCTGGCTAGGTGTATTTTGCATTGCAATTAAAAAAGAAAAAAGAAAGCTTTCTATTTAACATTTTTAAAGGAGAAAATTGGTGTAAAGTTGAGATTATTTATTATATAATTTATTTAATATGGTATAATACATACTCTTGAAGTTTAAATTTAAACAAAAAAAAAAGATTATTCTAGATAACTTGAAGAGAAAGGAATTACAACACCGACTGTCTAAGCTGTATATAATGGAGAATACGGTAGATGCTAAGAATTATTGCTCTGATCATCCATCCATATTCTCCATGGCGTCTTTGAAATCCTTCTTGTTTTTCTTTCTTTTGCTCTCTTTCTTATGCCCTCTTGGTGCTGCTGAAACCTGCAGCAACCACCGATTTGATGAAGGCAAGACGTTTGCCTCGTGCAGCGACTTACCGTCGTTGGATTGCTCACTTCATTGGAACTACATCTCGTTGTCTCAAACAGTCGAGATTGCGTTTAGGCAGAGCGGTGTTGACAAGTCACCAAGATGGATTTCCTGGGCTATCAATCCCGAGGCGAAGGGCATGGTCGGTTCACAAGCTTTGGTTGCGTTTCGGAAAGATGATGGAACCATGGCGGCTTATGCTTCTCCTATAACAAGTTACGCAACTCAGCTTGAACAAGGGGACATCAGGTTCCTTGTTAATCGGGTTTCCTCCATGGTTAAAGATAACGAGATGATTATCTTTGCAACTTTGGCAGTGCCTGCCAACACCACAACCGTGAATCACCTTTGGCAAGTAGGACCGTTAGTCGGGGATGTTCCTGGAATGCACCGATTGTCTGGTCCAAATGTCGGTTCAATGGGAACCTTGGATTTCCTCTCGGGCAAGGTTGTTATAGACAGGACAAGTTCAATAGGCTATTGGAAAATAGTTCATGGAGTTCTATGCACATTCGGATGGGGTTTTCTGATACCCGTTGGAGCTTTGATAGCAAGGCATGGGAAACAGTTCCTGGGGCCAAGCCCTGCATGGTTTCATGCCCATATCTTTTGTCAATGCACAGCTTATTTGTTGGGTTTGGCTGGAGGGATCATTGGTGTTTTGCTTTGGCTTGGAGTCGGAGTTGAAGGAGTCAGCCATCAATACATTGGCATCACCCTTCTTTGTCTTGGAGCCATTCAAGGAATAGTAGGCAATTACAGACCAAACAAGGAAGATAGAAAGAGAATCTACTTCAACATCTTTCACTATTCGGTTGGCTACGGAACCATTGGCTTAAGCATTGCCAACGTCTTCTTAGGGTTTCACATGGTGCATGTTGGGATCCGGACTTGGCCTCAATTGACCTACATTGCTGCACTCTCGTTCTTGGGATTTATTGCCCTTATCTTAGAAGCAGTCGCTTGTTTCAAGAGGATCAACGCATCAAAGTCTACCATGCAGAATCAAATAGTTGCTTAGAAATAATATTAAGCTTTGATCTTTTAGACTTCTTTCCAGGTTTTTGCCTCAAGTTGTTTTTGTTTTTCATTTCAGTTCTTTTCGAGCTTACTCTCCAGTCTCTTGACTCTTGTTTTGGAAAAGCTAGTATAAATAGTTCAAGTATTCTAGCAATTTTGAGTTTTGACACATTTTTCAGATCATATTTTTAGTACAAGAATTATTTGTCTAAATTCCAGAGCACGCTTTCAATATGTATGGTTTATTTGAATTTTTTTTGTCTTTATTATCGAAACAAGCCATGATATCCAAATATGTTTGACAAATGATAAAAAAATTAAAGCTCGAATTAGGTGAATAAAAGTTTTCATAAGTTACAATGGTTTTAAGCGAATGTACCTCTACAAATTGTTATAGGAAATTGCCTTTCAAAAAAACATTGTTATAGGAAATCATACATCATTAATTACTTGCCAAAAAAGGTCATGAAAATAAAAATCATGATAAGTGATAGCCTGATAGGATATACATGCTCAATAATATATAGTATAAGAATTCTCATATAAACACATAATCTGCCGTATGCCACTTTACAATTTAAAACTATCTGTACAAACAAGATCAATAAACACACAATCTGCACATATCCCATTTTACAATCAATTAAGCTCCTGTGTATTCAAAAGCCCTGCTCCTTGCCATTCGAAAGCCATGGCAACCATACGTATTCTATTTTCTCGCTTCAGAATTCTCTGCAAAACCAGCAAAGTAAGAAACATTACACATTGTTGCTAGTCAAGTGCTCAGTTGATTTGCAACCCAAGCAATACATGCAAACACTGTCTTCCAGTTTGAAAAGCAACAAGGTCGAACAAATCATCCAAACTGAAATGATGAGGATGCACCTTATATAAACATCCCATAAGCTGTCTTTTGGGTCCCCGTCCCTCGCCCCAATAGTTTACTTCACAAAATTGCTACATTTGAGTCATTCACAACTGTCTAGGGAATTTAACTCAAAAGAAAATCACGATAATCCAATAATAAGGCCAACTTTCAAGAAAATTGGGAGCGTATAATCAGAACAACAGTTGGCATCGAATCTACTGAATGCTCCAGTTCCAAATTTCTGTGAGATAGCAGATGCTGCTAGTTAAGAGGAGAAACCAGTTAAGCAGTTGACTCATGCTTGTACCTCATAAAGCAATCAGTTACCAATGTAACGTCAAACAGCCATATACACCTACAAGTCCAATAGGCAACTACTACCTAACCTCAAAATATTCAAGCTTCTCTTGATATAAATCTTTACCTCTTGCAAACCAGAAACACAACTCTCTTTGTGGTCTAATCAGTTCATTGCATAAAGAACTTAAATGGTCAAACTACAAGCCAAGCTAAATATTATGAATGGCACAATGACACATCGCTAGCTAAGTTGCAACTTGACTTCCAAATTATCCACATTCAAAGACGTTAAAACTTAAAACAAGGTCATGACAGGATAAACCAACATTGTCATTACCACTACAGCATCAGAGCATCCAGAATCTCAGATGAAATTGACAGTTTATCCTCCTGGCAAACCTTAGAAATCACCATCAGCCATGCATCTTGATCAATTGCATTTGCTTTTGCTAGACTATTCAAAACCATCAATAATAACTTCATGTCCGCTTTCTGACACAACCCAGAGACAAATTTATGTATACTTGCACAATGCGGCACATAGCCCTTAAAAATCATCTCATCCATAATGAATGCTGCTTCCTTGAACTGCAATCCACCACAAAGCCCATCAAAAAGCAACCTATATGACACAACATCAGGTTTACACCCCTGCCTTGGCATATCTTCAAATAAATCATTAGCTTCACTCCACTTCCCTTCCTTGCACAACCCACCAATTAAGATGTTATAACTAATAACATCTGGCTTACACTGTTTCTTAGCCATATCTTCAAGAACTCTGTAAGCTGCTTCAAAATCCTTCACCTTACAGAACCCATTAATCATCGCATTGTAGGTAACCGTACCTGGTTTACACTCATTTAAAGCCATTTCCTCAAAGATCCCAAGAGCCTTGTCCTGTCTCCCAACGTTAAAAAGCCCACTAATTAAAGTAGAATATGTAGATGAATCCACTTTCATCTTATTCCCAACCATTTCCTCCTTAAGCCTAATTGCCAAACTCAACTCACCAATCCTACAAAGCCCTTTAATCATCATGGAGTAAGTACATGGACTGGGACACAGACCATGAAGCCTAACCATATCCGCCTTCAACTTAAATGCTTCCTTTACCTTCATCTCCATACAAAGCCCTTGAATCAACGTCCCAAACGTCACCGCATTAGGCTTGACACCTTTCCTCTGCATTTCATCAAACAGGTTTGAAGCATCATCCAAACACCCACTTAAACAGCAGGCACGAATCAATATATTATAAGTACAAGCATCCGGACGGGCATATTTTTCCATACCGAAAAACACTTGCTTCATTTCATCAAACTTTTCGCTCAACAAAAGCGCGTTCAACAACGAGTTTACAGACTTTACTGTCCTTTGGCAACGATATTCAGGCATTTCCTCGAACAATTGACGTGCACGTTCGTGCAAGCACGCACGACCATAGAACTTCATGGCATTGCAAAAGATGATCTCTTCTGGGGCTAAACGGGCATCATTTTTAAGTTGGTGTAGAACTTGTTCCATCTCATCAAACATTCTGGCCCTGCCAAGCTTGGTTATGATGAGATCATAGGAAAGCGGGGAGTAGCGGAAGGGTTTGCCGGGAGGTTTGAGGTCTGGGTTTGGGTTTTTGAAGATGTTGAAAGCGAGGGTCGGATCTTTTTCGCTGCGGAGAAGAGAGGAGAGCCTAAAAGGAGAGATGGGTTTTGGAGTTTTCATGTTTTGCTTTGTTTTCCTTGTTGTTTTCTGTGTTTTGCTTTGGAGAGCCTAAAAGGTTTGTTTGGCGCCAAGGTATCCGTTGAAGTTTAACAAGCAAACCTGTCTAAAAAGAAGCTGGGGTCAATATGAAATTATTATTTTATTATGTAAATAATATATCTTAATTTAAAATTAATTTTGAAGATATATTAGAAAATATTAAAAGATCGATCAAAATTGTTTTATATTATTTTAATAAAAAATATAAACTCATAAGTGACCATTAAACATAAATATAAAATTGCTTAATTTCATGAACTTATATTTGGTAGGAAGACAGAAAATAGAAAGAAGGAAAAATAAATAAAGGGTTGCTTTTCTTTCTTTACCTTTGGTATGAAAGATGAAAAATAGGAGGAAGGAAATTAGGGATAAATATATAAAATAATTAACATAAGCAAGAAAAGTGTTTTTCTTCCACTTTTGAAAGTATTATAAAAGAAAATGAAAAACGATAAGGGGAGTATGAAATTTGAATATATAAAAGAAAACTCAAAATTTTAAGGTTTTATAATAAAATTTATTGTACATACAAATATTTCGTATAACAGAATTATAAAGTTTTTTTTTTATTTTGAGAAAAAAGATTCAAACTTGACATGCAACTACTATTTGATTAAATGCTTAGGTGCAACATGCCAATTGTGCTTCCATTGAATCATATAGCGATTTACCTACCACCCAAGTTAAGATACAAGCACTGCCTCCTATCAGAGATGTTGATGGAACGGAGCTCTTCCTCTATCGTTTCTTAAGCATGAAGAAGGTGCTTAGAGGCGAACCCATTTCTACTAAATTGTTGAAAAGAGTTAAAATCCATTTGTCCAACCCCCAACATCAAATTAACCCTAGTATGCTATTCCATTTCCAAACGAATATATAGGATTAGGATAATGAGATGCCAAATAGTCCATTTTTCTCTCAAAAATGTTTTTTTTATTAAAGAATAGTCTCATTATGATGTACATCCAAATGTTTTTTTTTTTAATTTTTTTCTCAAAGAAGCATATCCAAATGTTAATTGAGAATGGTATAAGAATTTCAGTTACAAACATTATTAAACAGGAAATAAATAGCAGCTTTTTTCCATCAGGTAAAGAGTTAGCAAACATTGCTAACAAAAGCCATCCATATATGCATCCAATGAAGTTAAAGGATGCCAGTGTGCCTTAGATGAAGGAACTGAATTATGATTGCCTCTGAGGTGTCACCACTTTAAACTCATGCAAACGTGAGAATTTCACAAAAATGATTGCCTTGGATTTAGATCTTTTATTTAATTTCTCTTTATGGGAGGGCTGGGCTCTTCCAATTAGTTTTTGGCTTTTTGTTTTGACTTGCATTTCCTGTTCTTTTATTTCTATGTTCGGATCGATTGCTGTGTGCGCAAACCCAAGAGCTTTAGAAAGTTGTGTTTCAAGGATGATTAGGAGGGGTGCCATTGGTTCGTCTGTGAAACGGTTCTATGGTAAGAGCCTGGATGATGGCAGATCAAGGGAGCTTGGAAGGCAGTGCTTGAAAAGGATCTCGTCTTGTTGCGTTTTGGCTGTTCTTGAAAGTTTTGATAAGGCTATTTGTGGGTGGAAGGAATTGCCGACTAAGTTCTTGACTGAATGACATTGATTGCCAAGTCCCGTTGATCTTCGGTCAAGTAAACTTTTGTTTTTTGATTTTGGTTCGGGTGGTCTGCTCAAGGAGTATCATGACACTTCTGCATCATTTTCTGTTTCAACTCTCTTGTCCGTGAAACAAATATACATAGCCCTTCAATTTTTCACCCAAAAGTATTTGGACTTCCCGTTCTCCACTAATTGTAATAGTAAGTTACTATGCATTAAAGAAAGGAATAGAAAATAGAGTTTGGTTCACATAAATGCAAAAGAGAATAAATAGAAAATTTAAGAAAAATATTACAAGATAGCACTGTATTTTACGTAAAAATAAAAGAAAAATAATTAAAGAAATGATAGTTTCAAGTTAGATTGATTAAAAAATTTTGTTCAACTATTTGATTAAAAAAATCAAGTTGGAGTGAGACCAATTTACATATTGTTGACATTATATAATTAGAATAAATCATTGCGCCCATTACCATACCTAACACATCAACAAACTTAATCGAAACTATCCATTGAAAAAAAACAAACTTAACTGAAAATAAATAATTAAAAACTTCAAACGTATGAGCCAGTGAGAGTCGCGAGGTTGATTAACCCCATGCTTTCATTCCGTTCTTGATCTTCCATTGAATCATAGAGCGATTTTCCTTTGGTATCGGGTAGACACAGC